GGTGGATGAGACTTTGTTTTCTTTGTGGTAAAATATGCATACCATAAAACTTCCCATTTTAACCAGTTTTATTGCCTCATGATCCTAAAATCTGCCTTTGGTTCTCTCTCCAGGCTGCTTGGGTGGCTGGTACACACGTCTTCGTGGATCCACTCACCAGCCCTTACTGGGCATCTAAGTTCCAGCCCTGCTCAGGCCCCAGGAGTGCTTCTGGTCAGGAGGGTGGACTCTCGCTGCTGTAAACTCGGTTGCCCCGGCTTATTTGTACCCAAATAGTCATTGCACTTTTATTCCTAATAGCCAAAAAGTGGAAAGAGCCCAGAAGTCTAGCTACAGGAGAATTGGTAAACAGTGTGGTTTATTCAGACACTGACTTCCTACTCAGCAGTAAAATGGAGTGAATGACTAATACATGCAATAGCACACGAATCTGAAAAAACATTATCCTGGCCGGGTGCCAGTGGGTAACGCCAGTCAGCCAGTCATCGTAGCTACTCAGGGGGCAGAGATCAGGAGGATCATGGTTCACAGCCATCCAGGACAAATAGTTCTCGAGACCCTATCTTGAAAAAAATGCAACACAAAAAAATAACACATGCCTAGCAGTGCCAGCAAAAAAACCCAAAACAACCACCAACCAAAAAACCCATCACCCCTACTGGAAGAAGAAAGCACACTGTATCGTCCCATTAATATGGCGTTCTAGAACAGGCACAACTAACTTAAGAGTGGAAAATCAAAGTCCTGGGTGGAGGGAGGGTCTAGGGCCATGTGGAAAGGAGCTTGAGGGCCCTCTGGGGTGATGGGGATATTTCTGTGTCCTAATGGGGTTTGGGCTCACAGGTGCACCTCATCAAACAGGAAGCTTTCGATCTGTGCATTTCATCAGATGCAAATTTTACCTCCAGAGGAAAGAAATAGAACTATAAACAAATATGGGACTTTAATTAATAATGTGTGTGCTGAGGTTTTTAGGGAAGTGTACTGATGCTTGCAACCTATTTTAAATTAATTTTTTTTTTTTGCGGTGGTGGGGCTTGAACTCAGGGCCTCCACCCTGACCCAGTCTGCCAACCCTTTTTGTGAAGGGTTTTTTGAGATAGGGTCTCATGGAACTACTTGCCTGGCTGGCTTTGGACCTCGATCATCCTGATCTCTGCCTCCTGAGTAGCTAGGATGACAGGCATGAGCCACCGGTGCCTGACTGCTTTCTTGATTTTAAAGTCTTACTCTCCTTACCCTTTTTGCAGGGACTTTTTGCAGGGAGGTAGAGCTGGCAGACAGCTATCAGTGAGACTATCCACTGGAGCCAACCTCACCCTGCAGGTGGACATCAAGGAAACCCCAGGAGCTGAGTTCTGCCGAGGGGTAGCACCAGTCAGAAGAGGCACCGTCCACTGCCCAGGCCATCTGCCCTTAACATGGTGCTTGCAGGGCCTCCTGCACACTTGCTCACCTCAATTCCTGCCGTGTGGTCAGTAGAGCAGTGGCCCCGAAAGGCATCTGCATCCTCATCCCTGGAACCTGTGACTATGTCACCTCACTTAGCAAAAATGGATTTTGCAGATGAGATTAACTGAAGCACTGTGAGATGGGGTGTTTACCCTGGGTGATCCAAGTGAGCCCCATGTCCTTATAAGTGAGAGGGAGGTGGAGGGCTGGGACAGAGAAAATGTGATGTCACAGAGGATGGAGTGGTGCAACTGTTGGAAGGGGGCCCCTAGATACCAGAAAAAGGTCTTGCATGTACCAGGCTGGCCTTGAACTCATAATCCTCCTCCTCTCAGTGCCCCAAATTGGGATTATAGTCAGAAGAGGCACCGTCCACTGCCCAGGCCATCTGCCCTTAACATGGTGCTTGCAGGGCCTCCTGCACACTTGCTCACCTCAATTCCTGCCGTGTGGTCAGTAGAGCAGTGGCCCCGAAAGGCATCTGCATCCTCATCCCTGGAACCTGTGACTATGTCACCTCACTTAGCAAAAATGGATTTTGCAGATGAGATTAACTGAAGCACTGTGAGATGGGGTGTTTACCCTGGGTGATCCAAGTGAGCCCCATGTCCTTATAAGTGAGAGGGAGGTGGAGGGCTGGGACAGAGAAAATGTGATGTCACAGAGGATGGAGTGGTGCAACTGTTGGAAGGGGGCCCCTAGATACCAGAAAAAGGTCTTGCCATGTACTCAGGCTGGCCTTGAACTCATAATCCTCCTCCTTCAGTGCCCCAAATGCTGGGATTATAGGTGTAAGCCACCATGCCCAGCTTTTTGGACTGACAACTTTTGAATGGTTTCCCCTTGAGCAATTTGAAATGTCACCTTACGCAGTCTGTTTTAGGCTAGGCTTTGCCATTATCGTTTTGCTGTAACTGTTCCAGAGTCACACTGAGTTCACAGCTGTAGCTTTACAGGATCTTTTGGTATCTTAGAGCAAGTGTCCTCTGATTCATATTCTTTTATGAAAAAGTCCTTGGCTTAAACTGGGTGTGGCGGTACACACCTGTAATCCCTGCACTTGGAAAGGCAGGAGGATTTCTAGGCCAGCCTGGATTCTGACTGGCATTGTATTACTTTTTTTTTTTTGGTGGTACTGGGGTTTGAACTCAGCACCTCATACTTGCCAGGGAGGGGCTCTACCACTTGAGCCATGTCTCCTGCCCATTTTTCTCTGGTTATTTTGGAGAGAGGTTGTTACAAACTGTTTGTCTAGGCTGGCCTTGAACCTGGATCCTCCTGATCTCAGCCTCGTAAATAGCTAGGATTACAGGCATGAGCCACTGGTGCCCCGTGCAAATATTTTTCCTTTTTTAATGAGATGGGGTCATGCCATGTTGCAAAGCTAGTCTTGAGCTCTTGGGCTCAAGCCATCCTCCTGTCTGAGCCTCCTGAGTTGCTGGGACTACAGGCATGCAACACCAAGCTTGTCCCCAATTACTGGTTTAAGAAAATCCTTCAGATGGCAGGTTGCCAGTGGCTCACACCTGAACTATCTACTCAGAAGGCAGAGATCAGGAGAATCGAAGTTTGAAGCCAGCCAGGCAAATAGTTGGTGAAACCCTATCTTGAAAAACCCTTCACAAAAGGGCTGGTGGAGTGCCTCAAGGTGGCCGGAGTTCAGTACTGGGGAAAAAAAAAAAAAACACTCTTTCAGGGCTGGGCAATGGTGGCTCACCGCTGTAATCCTAGTTACTTGGGAGGTTGAGGTTCCAGGCCAGTCCAAGCAAATAGTTCACGAGACCCCCATCTCCAAAATAACCAGAGAAAAATGGATCGGAGGTGTGTTTCAAGTGGCAGAGTGACTGCTTTGCAAGCACAAAGCACTGAGTTCAAATCCCAGTCCCACCAACCAACCAACCAAAAGCTCTTCAGGACTTTAAGCCATATTCTAAAGTACCACAAAATAAACAACCCCCCCCAAAAAAACCCCACCCAGTCTTGCAAAAAAAAAAAAGTAAAAACACTTTGAGAATGATGAGAATGTGAAGGATCCTTTGTGGCCCATTTGCAATACACTTCAAGACTGCATCTGAAAAACAAAAATCAGTTGTTTTCCTTTGTCACCTTTAAGACGTAGTTGAAGGCCATTTTATCTCAAAAGGACAGAGTGGCCTCTGGTTTCCAGACAGCTGCCTGTCAGCTATAAAACCAGTAAGGTCTTTACCTCCATTCCAATTTCCTAAAATTTCTTTTGGGTTTCAACCTGTAAAACCCAGAAAACCTGCTTAATTTGAGAAGGCTGTGTCCTTCTGAAATCAATACCAAGTTTGTGTCCACCAAGGAAATGAAGGTTGTAAGCACTCAGCCCTGCCACTGGGCCAGGAGTGTTTGGCAGGTAGTCCAATTGAATAGGTACACGGGCTTCAGGGTTAAATTCATTTCTATTAGTTTTTAGATTTCCCTTTAAATTGCTACAAATAGGTCCTAACCACATCTGAGTACTTGAGCTCAGAAGCCTCAGGATCACCCAAGGTCACACTGTGAGGCCATCTTTAAAAGAAGGTGGCTGGAGGTGTTAAGAGCAGGGCTGTTAAGAAGGGAGTTGTTAAGGGGGCTGAAGTGAGGCCCCCTGAGCCCAACCATACGTGGTGAGACATGCTTGCAATCACAGCATTCAGGAAGCAAAGGCAGGATGAGTTCAAGGCCAGTCTGTGCTTCCTAGGGAGGCCCTGTCTCAAAGCAAAAAGTCACACAGATGTCTTAAGTACATAGATGTTTAAATATACAGAAAAGTAAAAAATTAGTACACTTGTTCAAATTAAATTCTGGGAGTTGGGTGCTGGTGGCTGATGGCTGTAATTCTAGATATACAGGAGACATATCAGAAAGATGGAGGTTTGAAGCCAGCCCAGGGAAATAGTTTTAAGCAACCCTATCTCAAAAATACCCAACACAGAAAGTGCTGGTGGAACAGCTCAAGTGGTAGAGCACCTGACTACCAAACCTGAGGCCCTGAGTTCAAACCCCACCAACACCAAATAAAGAGGATCATTTTTAGGAAGACCAAGTGCAGAAATTCTCTGAATAAAATTTACACCAGATGCTTCAAAACATTCTTTCACAATTGTGATTTTATTGTGTTGAGGATCAGCACACAGACATTTCAATTTGTATACAACTTTTCACACATGTACCAAAAATCCAAAGCCATGTATTGGTTCTTTTTAAAGTTATTCCAGTGACATTCCAGCTTCAAAACTGGAGGCAAATTTTCCTTGAGGACATCACGTACCATATCTTCAAATGCTGATCAGCTGCTACTTAACTTCCACAGAGTCACAATTTTGTGTCACATTCACCACATACTCAAGTTTTCCATCTTTCACAGCACAATAACATTAGGAAAACTGGACTACCACAACCAAATGTTACAGAGTACACACAATTTTGACAGCAACGATCAAGGAGTGGTTTTCTTTAGGAAACAGCTCTACTAGAAAACAACACAGGACTAGAGTTTAAAATATTCAAGACATATTAAATGCACGACCGTGACCCAAATTGCCATAATTTAGTACACTTTGTATTGCAGGATATAAAACTAACCCCCACCTATGGAATGTTATGCTGACAGGCAGACAGCCAAAGCCTCCGCAATTCAATACCCCACTGTTTTCTGGTTGTACCAAAAAATAAACAACCAGCAAGTGATTTCACTTCTTAAAAAAATCATTTACACTTAAAAAATGGGATGAGGTGGGATTCCCTCCTTTTTAAAAATGTTTCTAGAGCTACTAAAAAACTTGCATTTACAAAATAGTTGATAAAAATATTCCTCTGGATTGTACAAGAAGGGAGACGGGGAGCACTGGTGAGACGTGGTGTGTGATTAGTCAGCCGTGGCTTCTTTCTCTTCTGCGTCGTCAAAAGCTGCACTCTGCGAATCAAAGGCAAGGCAAGCGTCAGCATTGACCCGTCCTGCCATTATCTCTGCATTCAACACTATGTATGATGTACTTACAGACACTTAAAATGAGTCACCATCTATACATTCCCAGCTGAAGTTACTCTGCCTAGCTTCAGTTCTAGTATGCGAACAAGTGTCTTTGCAGAGTAGTTACTGCCGTGGATTCTGAATTTTTGTGCTTTTTGTTGATTTTGCTGTTTAAATTGACCTCCAAGCATTGTGTCCAAGGTTAGTGCTGCTAAGTGCAAGGTGGACTGATGGACCTTATAGAGCTAAAACATGTGCTGGATGGCTTTATTCAGGTCTGAATAAAGGCTGAATAAAGGGCTGCTTGTTATGAGTTCAACGTTAATGTCAACACAATGTATTAAACAAGGTGTCTCCAAACAGAAACGCACAGCCAGCAATCTAGTGATCACAGAGTGCATGATCATGCACTCATCAATTGAAAACATGATGATCCAATACTTGCAGGAACCTAACCCCATATTCCCCACAAGTGCCACAGTTTACTATTTGTGATAATCTTGTAAGGCATCACTGCCATGGATAAGGAGAATCAACTACAATTTGACAATACGTACTGGAAAGTCAAATGCCCTTGCAATTGGGATTGCATGAGTAATATGATTTTCAAGTCTCAAGATACGTAGTTGGAGCTAGGCAGTCAAAGTGAAAAAGGGACAAACTTCGATCATACATTTCCTAGTTGTCTATTATGCTCTTTCCTCAACCCTCATGTAGGAGTAAGCAACTGACGACTAAAAAGTTTGAACTATAAATAACAAGATTTGAAAATTAATTTCCTAGGAAATTTATCTTTTCTAGCTTAACAAAAGTTAGTTGTTTGACTTAGCTACCTATCAAAACCTTGTATTAGGCTGGCAGAGTGGCTCAAGTGGTAAGGAACCTGCCTAGCAAGTGCAAGTCCCTGAGTTCAAACACCAGTACTGTCCCTCTCCCCAAAACTCCTTTCAAAACCTTGTACTCCACCTATGTTTTCCTATTTTTCCTCACGGCTTAGAAGAGTGACGATAAATGTTATCAGGCTTACTTGTTTGATCTGGGTTATGACTTAGTGGCTCAAGTGGTAGAATGCCTGTTTTGCAAGTGTGAAACCCCGAGTTCAACCCCCGTGCCACCAAAATAAATAAGTTACAATTATGAATGATGTAATCCCACACTCAAGAGGCTGAGGGAGGAAGGTCATGAATTCAAGGCCAGCCTGGGTTAAAATATTTAAAAAAAAGAGTAAATCCTGTGTACAACATAGAGTGGACCTATTTGTTACTGGTGAAAGTAAGTATACTAAAACTTCTTGCTCACTCACTTATATACACACTTTCAAACAATACCTGATCTTTAAAAGAACAGCTGTTCATTCACTTAGGGTAACTGTCTGTAACCGTTCAATGTTATAAATACACACCAACCTGCTACATAAAACACACAAATTACTATCTACTGTTCAGTGGAATTCAATAACACACACAACCCCTGACCTCCTCGTTTTTAGTTTCTCCGTTTTCTGCAGGTAAATCTTCTTTAGTTTCTTGGTTAGCCACTTCAGCTTGTTTTCCCTTTGCTCCCCTTTTTCCTTTTGCTTGCACTTTCTTGTCTGAAGACTTCTCCTGAAACAGTATGAAAACATTTTAAATGTAAACTTGGATTTAGGTTTTCTGATTAGATATAGACTATACCCGCAACAGATGACACACATGCCACCCTGAATTAGCTCATACACCTGACACCAGGTGACGTAGGGGTCCTACCCCAGCCACAAGGAAAACACTGTATGCTAAGGAAATTTATAGTGTTCACACACCCAGCCTTATTAGCTGTAATGATCAAACCCAAAGCCTGAGCTACACTTAACGTCACCCACTAGTCTGAAGTTCTACACACCAGAACGAGCAGTAAAGTTAGAGTATATTCTCAATGTAACCCTGCCAACCCAGTATTTTTCTTGGTGGTACTGGGGTTTGAACTCAGAGCTTTGCAGTCACTAGGCAGGCAGTCCACCACTGAGCTAAACCTCCAGTACCCCCCAATTTCTTTTAAGCATGAACATTAATCCAAGTGGCAGATAACCATTGTTCGGATGAGACTTTGACCCTCACATTAAGATCATTCACCTGACAGAAAGCACCATGCTGCAGTAAAACCCTTGGTTGATAGCATAGAATAAGTAGCTAAAAGGATCAGTTTTGAGTTAGAATAATCTAAAAAGCACAAGTATTAGTGCAAGCATGTAACTTGAAACATTATATTCACAATTTAAGTTATTTTAAAGCAAGGTAGAAGGAATAGGAGTTAAACAGTAACTGAGTGAATTTGATGAAAATACATTTTATACATGAATGTAAGTATTTCAATAACAGCTTGTTGAATTTGTTTATGCTAATAAAAAACATAGTAACATTTCTGGATATCCCATCAATAGGGAAGAAGCATAACAAAAGCAACATTTTTCTGAAAATAAAAGATTATAGAATCAGCTACATTAAGTCAGGTCACCAGAAGGTCGAATTTTTTTAGGGGTAATACTCAGTCTCATGCTTGTTACGCAGGCCTCTCTACCACCTGAGCCATTCCATCAGTCTTATTTTGTATTGGGTATTTGGAGATAGGGTCCTGAGAACTATTTGTCTGAGCTGGCTTTGAACCACAATCCTCCTGAGTAGGTAAGATTACAAATATGGGCCACTGTTGCCTGGCTCAGAAATTTTTTAATTAAAACAACCTTCTGGTCACCTGTCAGTCTGGATGGTGGAGTGGCCAAAGTGGTCAAGTGCCTGCCTAGCAAACATGTGGCCCTGAACTCAAACCACAGTTCCATCAAAAAATATTCAACAACAAACAGCCTGAACTTGAAGTAATAAATACCACTAGCTGGTAAGCAGGGCTGGAGGTGCATCTCATCTCAGTGGTACCTACAGCGCTTGCTTACCATGAGCCAGGCGTTTGGTTTCCTTTCTTACTGTCTTCCAGCGTAAGACATTCTAAGTTGACTGTACTACACTTACTATCCCTTCCTTGAACCTTTATCTTTAATTTTTTGCAGTACTGGGGGTTGAACCCTAGACATCCCAAATGCTAGATCCTAAGGGCTCTACTGTGTGAGACACACCCCCAGTCCTTTTTTCTGTGTTTTGTTTTTAAGATGGAGTTCTGATAAATTCTGCAGGGTTACTGGCGTCCAACTCTCCTTTTACCTCCAGCTCCAGTAGCTGGATTACAGGCATGTACCACCACACCCTTATCTTTAAAAAGATCACAAAAACAGAACATTTTGTTGAAAACAGCTAAGACTTTAACACTCAGCTCTGTACAACATTTAAATGAAAGCGTTTTATAGCATTTAGTAAGTACAAACTTAATAGCTAGGAGCTCTTCCACATCAAGGGAATTAACCTTGCCTCTCCTGGCCATGACACAATGCTGAATTTCCATCTACTCTTTTAGGAAACGAGTGCCACGCATTAAAAAGTTTTCTTTTTGTCTTCAAACAGCAAACTCTACCTGAAGTTTTGAGTGGAAAGACGAACTTCACATCATGAAGCACTTGTAGAACTTTGCAGACCGTAGCACAGATATACAGAATTTGTAAGCGGTTTACATCTATTTCGCTTTTCCAATTTAAAATTTATCAAGCACACATAAATATAAGAACAATTTATTTCTGAAGATCTGCAAACTGAGGAAAGCAATCATGAATCTGCTGTGGCACAACCATCACTTTTATCATGATTAACTCAAGTCTGCCAGGACAAAACCTGGCAGTTCTATACACAACTGCGCTGCAAGTAAAACACTTCCAGAATACTGTGTGTTCTCAGAGAACACATTCTTCCTAGACTCCCACTCCAGGTAAAAACGTAGATCTCCTGTGTCAGTCTGGGTATGGCATGTATTAAAAAACCTTTCTCCTGGCTTCAGTCCTACCTTGGCTCAAAGAGTTAAAAAAATTACAAGCACGCCACGAACAAGACATCAGCCGTAAGGCATACATCACAAGATTTTCTTTGTAACCTAAATGTACTATTTAACATTTTGTCACCTTAAGTTCCCTAAATCCCGCAACAGCATTATATTAACGTTTCCTAAGTCAAAAAAAAAAAACTTACTGTAATTATTTAAAATACAAAGAAAATCCAGCCAGATGCCGGTGACGCTTGTCTGTAATCCCAGCTACTTGCGAAGCTGAGACTGGGAGTTCGAGACCACCACCATCTCCAAAATAACGAGAGCAAAACATGGACTGGAGGTGTGGCTCAAGCGGTAGAGCACCTGCTTTGCAAGTGAGAAACCCTGAGTTCAAATCTTCTCCATCAAAAAAAAAAAAAAAAAGGAAAGACCATCCAAGCAGCTCAAGATAAAAAAGCAGGAATTACGCGGCACTGCAGCCTGTCCGGAAGACAGCGATCTTGAAGTCGGAGCTTACCTTCCCCGCTGCCTTTTTGGGCTTCGACTCCACCTTGGCAGGCGCAGGCTTCTGCAAGGCAAGGGCAGAGGTGAGCGGGCTGCAGGTGGGATCCGCGGCCGGGGAGGGGGCCGATCGCTATACTTACAGCTGACAACCTCGCCGACCTCCTCTTGGGCTTTGGAGAGAGAAAAAGCAGCGTGAGCGAGGGCAACCCAGAGAGCAGTGCACACAGACCCACCCCGGGGGAGGCCCCGGCTCACCTCTTCCTTCGCCGCGCCTTCGGCCGAGCTGACCTGCGGGCAAAGCACAGCGGCGATGCACACAACAGCCCGCGCCGCCCGCCGCCCGCCGCCCGCCGCCCCCCGGGCCGCGAGAACAATGCCCGCCGCGTGACGTCAGCGCTTCCGGCCTCCGCCGCGTCCGCGCTCCCCCCACCCCCCCACACCCCGACGGCCGCCGACTCCGGCGCCGAACGTCCCGGGTCGCGGGCCGGCTCGCCGCCCGCGCGGAGGCCCGAGCGCCTCTAGGACCCGCGCGTAGCACTCCGGCCGCGGAGAACCAAGCCGAGCGGCCGGCCGCCGCGCCCGAGCTCACCTTCCTCTTGGGCATGATGGCGGCACAGCGGGGAGCGTGCGACGGTTGCGGGGGGAGGTCTGTGGAGCGCGAGAGCCTTCCCGGAGCTACGCTGCCCGGCCGCCGCTGCTTCTCCCGCCGCCCGAGCTGCTAGGACCCGCGGCAGGGGCGGTGGGAGAACCGGATGGAACCGGATTGGAGCCCGCCCCCTCCTCCTCCTCCCCCCCCCCGCGCCCCCGCCGGCCGGGCCGCCCCCCGCCCCCATTGGCTGAGGGGCCCACCGCGCGCCTCAGCCCGCGCCCCGAATAGGTGAGACGGACCGTCACTCGACCCCGCGCCCCGCCCCTGTTCCTGGCCCCCCAACCCGGGCCGGCGTCGCGCGGGCCCCAGACCCTGGAGAAGGGGGCGGGCCCCTGAGCCGCCCGGCCTCACGGTAGTTTGTTTGAAGCCCAGCAGCAGAGTGCGGTCTGCGCGGTGATTGGTGGGAGCGCATCACGTGGCCACGACATCCCTCCCACAATTCCCCTGGACACCTGGCGGCCTGCAAGCGCTGGAATCTACGGTCGAAGGGGTTCTTCCCCCTCCCCCAGAGTGGTTTAGGTTCCCACATGGATAGGTAATCTCGTAGGCTGAGAAGGTAGACAGACAGCGGACACGAACAAGCAAATTCCTCCCATGTCAGTCGGAAAGAAAGGCTAATCGGTTTCCGAAGCGCCGCAGGCCTGCTAGAGACAGGACCTAACGTACGGAAGGGAGGGAAGGTCGTGGGAAGGGAAGGGACACGGACACTGGTGCGCAGGCGCGGACTTTCGCTGGCTGCGTTGCGCATGCGCGGCGGGTTCCCGCGCCTCTGCGAGTTTGCTTTTTCAGTGTAACTTTGTTTAGCTCCTCGTCCCTCCAGTGCCGTAGAGTGGTTTTTGGATCTCTGGCGCTCCGAATTACTCTCCTGCTAATCCGTCCCATAGTCTCCAGGACGACTCACTCGCGGATTCCGGGTTCCAATGCGGGAGGTGCAGCTGCTCGTTTAAGGCGGAAAAAAGCTTCCTTCAGCCCGAGAGTCTAAACTGGGAACTCAAGCCATTGAGATTGCAAATTACTCCGTTTCCTTTTTATTTATTTTTGTTTTGAGACAGCCTCATTATATAGCAAGGGCTGGCCTCGAACTCGTGAACCTCCTGCTTCAGTTTTCTTAGTACCGGGATCATAAGTGTGAACCACTATGCCCGGCTTCTCTATCTGTGGGGTTTTTTGGTTTGGCTTTTTTTTTTTTTTTTGTACTGCTGATTGAACTTAGGTCCTCGTGTTACTGTTTCTTTTTTTTTAATTTGCGGTACTGAGGTTTGAACTCGGCCTGCATCTTGAGCCACTCCACCAGCGCTTTTTCGTGTTGGGCATTGTCTAGATAGGGTCTCTTGAACTGTTTGCTCAGGCTGGCTTCAAACCGTGATCCTCCTGATCTCTGCCTCCTGAGTAGCTAGGATTACAGGAGTGAGCCACCAGTGCCCAGCACTGTTTCCTTAATGAGATTCCCAAGGCCTAATTGAATTGGGTTCCTAAAGAAAAAGTTTTTCATGAAAAGTTGGCAGCTGGAATTTTTGAGGAGGAAGAAATGTAAAAGTTTTTAATAAAACACTGGAAACAGGCAAAATGTTCATCATTTGGTAGCAGCACATAACCTATGGCACCTTTATACTGAACAACTGTAAAACAAAACTCGAGGCAGTGAAGTGAGCAAAGTGTTTTTAAAACCACAAGTCGGATTATGCCTTACCTTCTCAAAAAGACTGAAGTTCTTAGAGTGGCTTAGAATGAACCAGGAACCTCACCACCTTACCTCAACGACTTTCATCCCAACTCACTCTCTTCACCTCCTATTCCTCCCACAGGCTGGCCAACCCCTGCCTCAAGGTCTTGTCACCTACTGCTTCTCCCTCTGTCTGCAAAGTGCTGCCTCAGAGATTCCTTCAGCTTTGGGTCTTTGTGCAATGTCACCTTCTTAATGAGGCCCTTGTATCTCTCCATCCGTTTTTCACCTTATTTTGCCCATAACATGTATTGGAAAAAAAATATATTCCATGTGTATCTCAAAAAGAATACCCAGGAAAGAGGAGCCAATAGTTAAGGGGAGGACAACTAGTAAGGATGGGAGTAAAATTTACTTTTCTTCGTGATGGCTTTTTCTGTCTTACTAACTTATGTTTTTGGTGGCACTGGGGTTTGAACTCAGGGCCTCACACTTGCTAAGCAGGCACTCTTTGAACTTGAGCCACTCCACCAGCTCCTTTTTGTGTTTGGTATTTTCGAGATAGGGTCTCTTCAACTATTTCCCCAGGGTTGGCTTCGAACTGCAATACTGATCTCTGCTCCAGAGTAGGTAAGGTTACAGGCGTGAGCCACTGGGCTTATTTTCCGTTTGGTTATTTTAAAATTTTTTTGGTGGTACTCAGGGCTGCTCCAGCAGCCCAGCACTGGTTATTTTTTGAGATAAGAGTGTCTATGTCCAGTCCATCCTGGACTTCAATCCTTTTTGTGTTTCTCTGTGTAGCTGGGATGACAAGTGCACACCACTGCAGCCAGCCATTGTTTGAGAAGGGGATCGTGCAGACATTTTTCCCGGAATGGCCTTGAACTGCCATCCTACTGATCTCCATCTCCTGAGTAGCTAGGGTTACAGGCTTGAGCCACCACACTAGCCTTGGTTGGTTATTTGATACAGAGCTCACTATGGAGCCCAGGCTGGCCTTGAACTACGGTCCTCCTGCCTATGTCTCTGAAGTGCAAGAATTAAAGTCACGTGCTGTCACATCGGGCTCTTCTACTACATTTTTAAGAAATCAGAGTCAGGGAGTGCCTGAGTTTGTGGCACAGATTGTGCTGAGTACCTGTCTTGTGCATGTCTCTCTGGGGCAGAAAGACGGCAGGCTCGTAATTTAATGAGGAGAGAACTGAAACAAGCTGGCCTAGTGAGGCAAGGGGAAGTCACAGGCAGTGGGCCAGCACACTCCAAGGCAGGCAGACTTACCAGAGCCTGGCAGGTCTCCAGGACCTTTAAAGGGCAAGGATGGAGTTTCAGATAATGCCATGAAGATCAGAGAGAAGAGGAAAAAAAAAAAAAAAGGAAGGGCAGTCTGTGTGAGGAGTTTGATCACTATTTGAAGAATTTAGGACCTTGAAAGGTCTTTGGGAATGGCACGCTGAAATATGAAGTTACTTTAATAAAGATTCTTCTCCCATGATGCTGGAGGTGCACTGTGCCAGAGGTGACAGTCCAGGGGCCCACAGGTGTTTGCTTTGGCCCAATTTTTTTTTCAAGTTGCCAACACTGCATACACGAAGCAGCCAGAGCTCAGCCGAAAGTCATTTGGTGGTATCTTAAAGCTAAACAGACATTCTGTGGCTCGGTGATCCAACTCCTGAAAGTATACCAAACAAAAATATTTTCACACTTCCACCAGAGGATGAGGTAGAATAGTTGAATAGTTGAATTGTGAACTGTGTTATGAGCCCAAGTGGGGAGCACCCAAAATCCACAGGAGGATGGATGCATGACGAGACACTGAGAATGGCCATCTGCAGCCACAGGCGGCAGGGATGCTCTTAGGGTTTGGATCTGAAATGCACTCAAAGGCTCACTTATTGAAGGCTCATCTCCAACCGATATTGTGTTAGAAGTGAGTGATCATGTGGGCTCTGGCGTCATCGGTGGGCATTTGCTGAGTCCATAGCTGAACGGACTATTAGCAGGTGGGGCACAGCTGTAGGAAGGTCACGAGGGATGCGCTTTGAAGGGCGTGGGAAGGGTGTGTCGTGTAACATTCCCTTCCTGGATGCCGCCTCCTGTGCCACACACTCTGGTTGCCAGGGTGTTCTGGCCTCATTCATCTCAGGCCTGAAACAATGGATCCAGCTGACTTTGGACTGAAAACTCTAAGACCATGAGCCAAAAGTAAGTATTTCCTCCTTTGTTTTTCTCAGGTGTTTTGTCACAGTGACAATAAAATGAACATACATTTCACACAATGTTAGGTAAAATATTGAAAGATGCCAGACTGAGAGTACACAGTATATTATTCTATTCAGATAGTGTATGAAAGCAGACAAAACTAGTATGTTGAGAGTCAGAGTAGTTGTTCCAGTTGGGGTAGGGTGGGGACTAGTGGCTGGAGGATGGAGCAATAGAAAAGTTTAGGGACAGGTCACATTCTGTTTCTTGATCTAGATGTTGGTTGTATCCTTTTTTTTTTTTTTTTTTGGTGGTACTGGGGTTTGAACTCAGGGCCTTGAACTTGCTAGACAGGCACTCTCCAACTTGAGCCATTCCATCAGCCCTTTTTTGTGTTGGGGATTTTTTAGATAGGGTCTCTCAAACTATTTTCCAGGGCTGGCCTCAAACTGTGATCCTCCTGATCTCTATATCCTGAGTAGTTAGGATTATAGGTGTGAGCCACTGGGCCTGGCTATCCCTCATTTTTCACTCTTGGCACCCTTGGATTTTTTACTTAATAAAAGAGATTGTTTCCTGTCAGTCCTTAAGAGTCTTTCTCCTTGTTACTGCATTGTATTCCACTGTATAGATGTACCAAACATTTTTTTAAACTTATGGTTAAATACACATAGTATAACATTAACCATCTTGACCATTTTCTAGTGTACAGAAAAAAGAATGAAAAAGAATAAAGCAGTTTACAGAACATACAGAATACCATAACACACATTTTGGGAGTTCAAGAAGGAGCAGAGAAAGAGTCAGATACTGAAAACCTAACGGGGACAGGGGATATGGCTAAAGTTGTAGAGTACTTCCCTAACATTTTGTGAGACCCTGGACTCAGTCCCTCATATAAAACACATACACACAAACAAAAGACAGAAAAGTTCCCAAATGTGGAGCAAGGGATAAACACCATAGTGCTCAAAGAGCTTAAAAAATAGTCAAAGAGCTCTTCATTGAGGAAGTCCATAATCAAATTACAAAAAGTCAAACAAATTTTTTTTTGTACTGGTGTTTGAACTGAGAGTACTTGCTAGTCAGGCTCTCTACCACTTGAGCTATGTCCCCATCCTTTTTTTTTTTTTTTTATTCATAGGTGCATGCAATGTTTGGGTCATTTCTCTCCCCTTCCCCCCAACCCCTGTCCCCATCCTTAAGGTGGAGAATTTTGAGACCATCAATAGCAAAGTAGTCAGCTACAAAAGAGCTGCC